AAAAAAAAAAAAATTTCTAATTAAGAAAAATTTTTTTTTTTAAAAAAAAATTTAAATTCATATAAATTCATAAATTTTTTTTTTTTTTTTCTCGATTAATAAAAAGTAGTGGTTTTAGTAGTAGTGGTTTTTAAAATCAAAAATCTTAGAAAAATAATCTTAAAAAATAATTCTTAAACATTTCCATAAAAAAAAATACGTAACACGATGGCCCGGAGAAAAAAATTAAATGAATAATATATACATCTAAAAATACATCTAAATAAAATAAAATAAAATAATAAATTATACCCCAAAAAAAAAAATTCTATCCGTAAAAACAAAAGAAGAGAAAGAAAGATTTTATGTACATATATTTACAAATATCAAATAAAATTTTGATTAAAAAAAAAACTTAATTATAAAATAATTCTTATGAGATCAATTCGTTTTTTTCAAGGTATTCTTTTACATAGTATAATAATATTCAGAAGATTCTGTAGGTAAGTAATCTTGTGAAATGTTAAATGTATATTTTGAAGGAAAATCATATAATGAACTATCCGTGTTAATTTCAAGTCCATCTAGGAAAGAAGAAGAATGTTGTCTTTGGGATTGTTGTTCTAATATTAAATTAATATCAAAAATTTCAAAAGATGAAGTAGAATCTGATGGTTCTAAATCCAATAAATATTGATCATTATTCTTAGGGGAACTAATTGATGAAGAATCTGGACTTGAGAACCAATGATTTAATTCATTAGTACCGTCCGCTCCATCTGATAAATTTTCGTCGAAAGATGACCTAATTGGAGACGGAATCATAAATTGAGCTGATTCTTTATGAGATGAACTTGATGAAATCACAGGTGAGCTCGTTGGACTTGATTTATTTGATAGAGATTCAGGTGGAGATAAAGGATATTGATTATCCAAGGAATTATTACTAGAAGATTTTGATGTGGTTTTTGATGATTCAAGGTTAAATTTAACCTCCTCATCATCAAATTTTACAATGTTCCATTTCTCACGTTTACGGCGTTTATTATTTCTTGGTAACATATCATTACGAAGATTAAAAGCTTCCTTGCCAAGGCGTTTGTACTCAGACTTAACTTGAACCGATTCTTGTTCCCAGGATTGTGAAGCCATTGAAGAAATGACAGTCATAGGTAAAAAATAACCTTCAGACCGAGCGGTCTCGATAAACCATTTTCGATAAATGATGAAAGCATTTGGTGGTTTACTCATACTTCCATCCCTCGATTTCTTTAAAAGATCTTGTGGTTTTATGTCCGGTGGAAAAGGAGGTCGAATGAATGGTTGAGCACCATTTATAACAGTACTTGGCATAGAAGGATTACTCGAATCAATGAAAACGCATGCACGTGAGATACGTTTACTCATTTTTGACAATTAATAATTATGAACAAGGTAATGTATATTTAATTATTTCTTAATGTGAATTAAAAGAAATAGAAAAAAAAAAATATTTTTTTTTCTAAGCTTTTTTCTTATTAGAAGGGAAATTTATTGAATGTAAAAATGGAAGGATTGTGTGGGGAAAATTTATTTCTTTTTATAATATTATGTGAGTCTTGCTTATCAAATTTAGGAGGGAGTTTTATTAACACACTTTCCTTTTTGGTCTCTTAAGAACGCATATTAGAATCTCATTAGAATAAACAAGGCAGAAGTTCTATGTGGTATCACAAAAAGTACAATGTAATCTTACTGTGAGTGCATAGAGGTTTGGTTTTTTAAGGAACTTATTATGAAGAGATGATCTCTGTTTGTGATAAGGGTTCGGAGTTTAAAGAAAAAAAAATAAAAACAAAGGAACAAAATCTATTTTTATATCTGGAAATTGACCGTATTAATAAACATTTTACTTCTGCGAAATTTATTCTAAAAAGCCATTTTTTTGAAAAATGTTTTTTTTAAATAATGGAAAATCTCCCTTCACTGCATAAATGTAATTTCCATATATGAATACATTAAATCCATTATACGTTATAAGGTGATTTGACGTTATTTATAATTTTTTTTTTATTGTGTTCCAAAACTTTCAATGCGCCCAATAAAGCGCAAAATAACTTGATTTGAACATTACGGCAAAACGGCAAGTTACTGATATGGCACATTTTTATAGTTGACAATGTAAAATACGAAAATAGTTTTAATTGTTGTTGATCTACGATTAATTAACAATTTTACCAACCTATACTGATAAAGGAATGATTATCCAGAATCGACTGATTTTTTTTCATTGGATACTAGACTAAATTTGGCAAGTAAGATATAATAATCAATTCCTATAATAAAGTTATCACAAACTTATTCGGATAATATTCAAACATGGGTTACATTTGTGTTACTCTTAATTTTTTAATTAAAGATTTCTAATGGTTTCACGGGTCAAAATAAACTTATCATTCATATGAAAAAAGTGTAGATCACGAGGGTTTCCCCATATTTATTTGATCTTTTTTGATGCCATAATCAAATAGTATATCAAAAAAGATAAGCAATAATCTAATACGGAGGGAATACGGTTTTTTTTTTTTAATCCTTTTTAGTTTTTTAATAAATATTTTTTTTTAAATTATGAAAATAATAAATAATAATAATAATAATAATAATATAATAAATAATAATAATAGCCTTTGTTGTTTGTATGCACATATTCTTTAAAGAATTTCTTTTTTTTTTCTTTGTCTCATTATTATTTCATTGATCTCGTGATCTTCAAATACTAAAAAACTTATTAAATTTTTATATTTTTAAATTTTTAAATTTTTATTAAAAAATAAAAAAAAATATAATAATGATAATAAACAAATAAAATAAAATAAAGGAAAAAAAAAATAACATCTCTATGATTAATAACAAAGTTTTTCTTATTATAAAAGGTATAAAGGCTTGAGAAATAACAAGTATTAAGAGAGATAGATACTTGCATAATTTTCGCGCCTCAGTTTTTTTTTTAAACGTTAATTTACATTGTTTACTTAAGGGTAAAAGGAAATAAACAAACAAATTATTAAAAAAAAAAACCTCCGGACAAGAAATGCAAAATATCTATCAAAAATAGAAGGTCTATTATTCAATATTAGACCAAATACGTTTAAATCGAGGAATTGAAGACAAAAAAGGTTTCCTATTTATGGTAACTGCTTTTTAAAATGGAAATTGATAGCATGTAGTTTTTTCCATTTTTTAACATTTTTAAAATATGAATATTTGACCAATCAAAAAAAAAAAATAGTGGGTGCTTTTACCTGATACCTTTTATAAATCGGTTGGTAAACGCTGTGCGTGCGCTGCGCTTGTTGGTATTTATTGTTTTCTGGGCAATTTCTAAGCCTGTGATCTTTAATAGATGATTCCTATAGATGATTCCTTACAAGTTACAAGTTATTGTTAAGTTGATTAAGAATATGCGAGATTTTTACTGAGTAATTAATAAATTAGTAATTGAAATATCAGGAATATACTGACCGATATTTTTTATGAGACATCCAATATTGAAATCATACATTTGGGTAAGTAATTAAGTATATTTCCAGCGCAAATAAAATCTTATCCTAGGACAATTTCTTTGGCATTGCGTACAGTTACGTGGAGTATAGATATATTATATATTACGATATAATCATAAAGTTAGAAACTTCTAGGATAATAACTTTTCGTAGTAAATAAATTTTATTGGATAATTCAATAATTCATGTATTTATGTAACATAATGAACATAATGAAAATTGTGATTTCGATTTTTCAAAGTAAAAAAGTTTTGTGTTACACTCTGCGTCACACCTGCGTCACAAACATGTGACTAGTATCGACTCCTTATAACAACGGTCTTTGTCCGATATCCTTCATTCAATAAGTAAGTTATTGTTCGGTCATTACGCCGATTTCAATATTTGGATAATTGAATTTCTCGGCCATTAATTCCCGTATAGAATCGACTATATACAATTTGTGTCTAAATAACAACTTTTTCTCATAATATAATATATTAGATATTGTAGACTGAAAAAAATTTGAAATTGATAATTTAATTTCGGCAAATTTTGTAGACGCATAAGTTACCGAATCTTGACGTAACACAAAAATTCGGTATTGCCACAATTGGTTATGTGGCATTAAAATAATAATTAATAATTTTAGCCACAACATTATATAATGAAAGTTATGTAAGTAACACACAAATCACACAAAAAATTCTGTACCTAATTATAATTGTAGGGGTTTTGTTTGGAACTTTGGCTTTGTAAATCTCGATTTATTAAACTTTTCATTGATTAGTGGATTATAAATCAAAGTGGGGTGATTTTTTTTTTTCTACAAGAAATTTTATCGTGCGTAAAGTTAGATTTGTCTCAAAAAGTAGGAAAAAATAATTAATTTTTTTATTGACCGTAGTAAAATATATGTTCTAGTCCTTCGAAATGGTTGATCTATATTTCTAAATCAAGATTAACAATGACATAAACTTTGAGTTGAAAGGATTCTTTGTTAAACCTACTTGGGTTTCAAAATGTATTTTTTTTTTTTTTTAATAAGATATGACCTAGACATAACTCAGATTCCTATTGTATTCTTTTTTTAGTTCAACCCTTTCAATTATTTGGGTAAACTAATTTATTATTTTTAGATTTGAATGAGCAAAAAAATTTTTTTTTTCTTTTATTTTTTTTTTTCCCTGTTGTTTGTTGTCAACTGTCAGCTGATGATTTTTAAAAAAAGGCCGGGGTTACGCTAAACTCTTTTTTTTTCACTCGGCTTACATTGTTCGGAATTAAAACTCAATCTGCACCTTATTTTAATTTCGGCCTTAACTATTTACGGGTGTTTCAATTTTTGATGTAAAAAAACAAAATTATGTTTTACAAATTTCTTAAATTTCCTGGAATAAAAATTAAAAATTTGGTAATTGTGGCTGTTGTAATGTTTATTAAAATGAACAACAAAATCTAGAAATGGGATCACAAATAAGTAAAAATAAAGTCTATGAAGTTTATTAGCCACAATTAAAAACATTTATCTTTTTAATAATTAATACCAATGATTTGGCTACAAATTAAATGTCATTGTAACCAACTGTAATAGTGTATAAATTTTGTAAATCATTTATATTTTTTACAAAATTCCGGTTTCGGTAATCATCATTTTTGAATTGATTGGAGAAAAACATAAATACCGTGTCATTCGTTTTTTCTTTCATTTTTTTTTTTAAATCAACCCTCAGGAAAAAAAATAAAAATTCGAAGTTAAAAATATATATTATATATATATATATAAATTAAGCACTTTTTTTTTTTTTAAAGTTAAAGAATTACCTTATAATGTCATCATCAGTATTTTATAGACATCGAGTTTTTATTAATTCAAATGATCCTGGTATACATAACCAAATAATTGATGGTACTCAACCGATCATAAAACTTCCCTTCCCTCCTTATATCGATCCGTATGATTTAATTATTAAATCTCAAGATGGTAAAATCCCATCTCGTTCTCCTAACGCATTTATTATTTATCGTAAAGTTTTTATTGAAACTGCTAGAAATGAAGGTTATATTTTGCCAATGACCGTTATTTCCTCAATGGCATCGCAATCCTGGGAACGGGAAAGCGAAGAAGTTAAAGAGGAATATAAACGATTATCTAGAGAAGCTTTTGATATTCGTAATGAAATGTTACCAAAAGAAAAACGTAAAAGAAAAAGAGGAAAGTGGAACATCATTTCTTTCGAAAAATCAAAAAGATCCCGTAAAAACCCTGTACAAAGTCCTTCTCATCAAGAAATTACGAATTCAACTTCTAATATTAGTCCAGTAAATGTAAATCTTAATAATAATAATAATAATAATAATGAGATTAATAATAATGAAACTAGTTCTATTATTCCTTCATTTGAACAGTTTAATTTTGATTTTACTCAATATATGAATAATATGATTCCAAGTCCTGAAATTCCTGAAATGTATAATAGTCCAGGATCTTCAATCATTAGTTCCCCCGAAATAAATGATTACACTCCTCCCGCCGAGAACAATTTAGTCGAAACTCCAATTTTATACGAGGAAGAATTGTTTAACTTAATGCCAATTAATAACGAAATTCGAAATACTGAACAATTCTTTAATTATAATTTCGACGAATCTCAAATAAATCCGACATTTTCGACAATTTACGAACCTTCCGAATTGAACTTTAATTTTTATCATTACTAAATATATGATTTTTCAACGAATTTGATATTTTTTTAATGAATTTAATAATTTTTAACGTTTTTGTTATTCTACGAGTAATATTTTAAAGATTTTTAAAGTCAATTTTTTATACTGATCGTCTTCTAGGATAGATTTTAATTTTTCTTATTATTTGAACGATGGTTTTTATAAGCGACAATTTTATTTGTTTTAAGATTTGTTTTTTACATAATTTTATTTATTCTTTTTTTTTGAGTGTTTATAAGCGACAATCTTTTTTATTCTTTTTTGTTTTTATGAGTGACTATTTTATTTATTCTTTTAAGATTTGCTTTTTATGTTTTTTATGGTTTTTTTTGCATTTATCTTTATTCTTTTTATGGAAGGGAAATTTTTTTTGCATTTATTTATCCTTTTTATGTGAAAAGAAGATTTATTTATGATTATTTTTATCCTTTTTATTGGAAGAGAAGTTTTTTATGATTATTTTATCCTTTTTATGTGAAGAGAAGATTTATTTATGATTATTTTATACTTTTTATGGAAGAGAAGATTTATTTATGATTATTTTTATCCTTTTATATGAAGAGAAGTTTTTTTTGCATTTATTTATGATTATTGTTTTTCTTTTTATGGAAGGGAATATTTTATTATGAAAGAATATATATGTATATATATATATATATATATATAAAGAATACATGAATCAAATGTTCTTTTTTCTTTCTTCGATAACAAACACAAACAAACAAATCAAACAAACAAACAAAAAAAAACAGAAAAAAATTCCTTTGATTCGTACTTTTTTTAAAAAAATAAATATACACATTAAATCATAATTCGAACAATATACTGTTATGTAATGTATAATATACACACGTTTTTTATATAAATTATTTTTGGTAACTCAAATTTAAAATTACCTTTTATGGAAGTAAGAAATTTATAAGTGAAACAAACGTCATTGATTTCATCACGATTGATGGATAAACCTTAAACCTATAGGTCAATTTTATACCAGCAAATTCCGGATGATTTATGGTGTACTGTGTATGGCAATTTCAGCGTAACGTTTTAAAAATTTCTTGTTTAACCATGTTTAATGAAATAATGATTTAGCCAAAATAGTTTTGGTTTTTTTTTGAACTTTCTAAAACTTCATAAACAAAAAAAAGGTATTCACGCACAACCGCATATTGAAGTTATTATAGTAATACCCGCCAAATCACTTTTTTTGTAATTTAAGTTTCATCTAAACCTAAAAAATTTATATAAAAGAAAAAAAAAAATTTTTTTTTTCATAACAATACTAATTAATATATATATAGAAATAAGGTGACTTTAATAAATTTGTACGGAGTGAGATAGGTACCTTATTACCATATCTAATATTATCATTGACTTTTTTTTTTACTCATTGAAATAAAAAATTTTGAAATACAAGTTAATTTTAGGAATTTTTAATAATCTTTTGAAAATACAATTTTAAAATTTTTAAATTTTTAAAATTTTTATTATTATTATTATTATTATTATTATTATTATTATCATCAGTAGGATCTAGATTGTATACATCATTCGCAATTGGTAGATCAACAAGTTTTGTTATTGTCTCAGTTATAAAAAAAAAATTTTACGCCAGAACCCCAGAACCAAAACCACTTTACAAAAAAAGTTACTCTAATCAGCTGATATCATTTTAAAACTCAAATCAAAAACCGTAGCGGTGATCAATGACGCATTAGTGAACCTAAAAAAAAATAAAATTTTTCAATTTTGTTCCGTTTAAAAGTACATATTAAGAAGGTGGAATTTTGACTCCTTAAAGATAGAATTTATGACTGAATTCTTTATCTATATATTAAATAATTCGTCCAACTTGTAAAATGTTTCTTTCATTTTATCAATGAATTTGGTCTATTACCATTATTTTTAAAGACCATGAATGAATTTCAAAAATGTTAGAAGTAATGGGAGGAACGAGGGGTTAATGATATAATATTTAATATTTGAACCAATTGAACCGATCGTCACATGACAAAACATTCATTATTTATGTAGTGTTACTAACGCTTCTTTAGTTCTTAGATTTTGAGTTTTTTTCAAAAAAAAAAAAAAAAAAAAAANAAAAAAAAAAGTAAATAAATAAATAAATAAATAAAATTTTTTTTATATAATTATTTAGAATTTTAATTAATTTAATTGTGTAATGATAACACTAAATTAAACGTCAATTTGCAAACATTTTATCATTCATGGGAAGAATCGAAGTTACACGGTATATAATAAATAATATTCTCATATTCTAAAAATTTTTGTTTCGATCATTATTTTCAAATAATTTAAAATTCAAAAGTAATTGCGTCATTTTTGAAACAAATAAAGAAATAATATTTAATATTAAAATTAAAATGTTCTTTTATTTATTATGTTGTGTTAATTGAAAACAAAAATTTATTTAGATCTAGATCAAAAGTATTTAAAAATATTTACAATAATACGTAATGAATAGACAACGAAATACGCAATAATTTTACGCCACTTAATCATTGCAAGAACTTTTTAAAGAATAATAATAAGTTTTTTTTTTGAAACAAAAAATTTTTTTATAAAAAATAATTAATAAATACAAACAGACAAAATTAGATAAAATCCATCACAAGTTTTTTTATACATAAAAAGTTAGTTTGTCTAAAAAAAGAAAGCAACAATAATTTACTTTAAAAAGGAGTTTTATTTCACCCTTCTAATCCCAAACAAGTTATGTTTTGAACAAAGTTCGTCAGCAAAAAGTAATTCTGTTTACAAGCAAAATAAATTTAGTTTCCAATTATTAAACATCAAAATTTCACAATTTGCATGGTGTTGTACATAAGTCCAAATTTAGTACAAATTCTTAAATGTATGGTAATTATTATTTTGGACAATATTTTGCATCTTTCTGATTATATTTATTTAGTGACAATCTGAACACATTAATAAAATAGATGCTTATAAAAACGCGGTAATTTTGGCTTCGAAAAAAAATTTCTCAAGATAAATGCAAAAAAAAAAAAAATGATATGATTAAAAAAATTCCCTTTTAAAAAAAACAAAAAAAAAAAAAAAAAAAAAAAAAAGATTGTCTCTTAAGCATATGTGCAAAAAAAAAATGCACATTTTTATAATAAGTTTATTATAATTATTATTTTTTATGAACCTACGAAATTTCGATTTCTTTTTTTCAAAAGAAATAAATTATTATGAATAATTAATTATTATAAATAATAAGAATAAATTAAAATCCATCCTAGAAGACGATAAAGTAATAATTGTTCGAATCTACCGAATTACGAAAACCATTTATACGAATTTCTACAAGAACAGAGTTAACGTTATTGAAATCTTTATCTCTACCACGCTATCTCGAAATCGCGTTTACGGCGTTTACGAAAAGAAACGATTAATAATTAGTTATGTTCGTTAATTATCTTACTTGAATCATTTAATATATATATTTAATTGAAGAAAAGAATAATATTTAAATTTGAATTGTTCTCTTTAAGCATTTAGTAAAATAATATTTTATAAATGCCTATTTTTTTTTTACATTTCATTAATAATTTTATCAATTGTATTTTTTTTTTCTTCTTTTTTTTTACCTTGCTCTTGAAATTTTAATTGTTTTTGATTGGTTCTTGTTCCTTAATTATCAAACATTCATAAACAAAATATTTATAAAATGATTTATTAAATATTAGCTGGTATTGAGATGATAAAATCTCCTTTTTTTTTCGATTAACAATAACTGAAATAAGATATTTCGACATGTAATGATCATAAAACAATATGAATATAAATATAATATTTTATATAAATATTATATATAAATATTATATTATTAAAAAATAAAAATAAAAAAAAAAAATCTTTTTTTTTTTCCTCCTTTTTGTTAAAAAAGAGAATCGATGCGAAAAACTTGTGTTTCTTTTATAATTACGATTCTAGGACATAAATTTGCCTTATATAGATTGTTTGCTTGCAGATGATTTTATGTTGAATGTTTACTATATTGGAAAAAAACCGATGTAACCGAACTGTGCATATCTATTTATGGAAGAACCGATGTTAACAATTATTGTATTGTAAAATTTCTCATTGTAATTTAAACGTGTACTTACTAATATATATATAAAATTTTAGTAACGGTTCAAGTTGCCATTCCCATTATTAAATGACTACTTACCTGCATTACATAAAATTTGAGGACTACTAAAGGTTATGTGTATACATAGTTAGAAAGAAAGAAACCATTTGTGATAATATTAAAAAAAGTAATCATCATAGTATGGCGTATTAGTGATATTATTGTGATTCAAAAGTAACCAAATATTGTTTTCCCCGATATTTTTTCGCCGAATTTGTTATTTATCAAACATTTATTTCTAATTATAATTTCTTATGCGGTTCTTCACCATTATTAAGAAATGTGGCTGGTATAGTGAAACTTTTGAAGATCTAAATCATTAAATAAGGAAAATCATTGCTAACAAATGTATTTTCCTAATAAAGCTTTTTACGGTGTTATTAGTATCCGTTAAACGGTTAAAGAGACGTCATAATATATATTGATACATTTTTAAAATGTAACACACCTTTTTAATAACAAATTTGTTAAATTTTTCGGTTCATCGTTATATTTATACACCCCTTGTTAATCTATAATGTTAAATATTATGAAATTTTAGGACTCCGGAATCTATTTTTGAGCTTGGCAAGTGACAAACGGTAAAAAATATTTCCCTTCGAAATTTAGTGACTGACGAAAAATTATAAATACACTCGCCTCAACAAGCCTCAATTCTTCAATCCAAAGAATAATTGTAAAAATTTAATTAGTAACAAAACAAATGTCTTCTCAAAATCGTACATTTGCTTTCGTCGATTCAAATGATGATTCGAAACAAATAATTACCATGAGTCGACCAATCATTAAAGTTCCATTTCCACCTGTTATTGATCCATATGATCTCATAGTAAAAACTAAAGATGGAAGAATCAAATCTCGTGCTCCTAACGCTTTTATTATTTATCATAAAATTTTTATTGAAACCGCTAGAAATGAAGGTTATCATTTACCAATAACTGTTATTTCTTCAATGTCTTCTCAATCATGGGAAAAGGAAAGTGATGAAGTTAAAGATGAATACAAACGTATTGCTAAAGAAGCTTATGAAATTCGTAATGAAATGTTACCTAAATCCCAAAGGAAAAAAAAGAGAGGAAAATGGAATATTATTACTTTTGATAAAAAACGAACTCGAAAAGATAATTCACTTAAAATTCAAAAACCTATTAGAGAGACTACGGAACTAATTCAATTTTCTTCTCCTATTTCTTTTCAAAATATTTGTCCATTTCCACAATCTGAATCGTTTAATAAAACTAGTCAAAATTTTGAACAATTTGATTTTGATTTGCTTCAACATATGATTCCTAATGAAATTAATAATTCTGTTGATTTAATTAATTTTGATTTTGATAATAATAATCAATTATTACTTAGTCCAGGTCTTTCAAATATCAGTTCACCTGAAATAAATTCACAAAATGATTATAACTTTCAATCTTCACCAGAATCATTTTCAGATATAAATGAATCACCAATTATCACCGAAGAAGAATTATTTGATTTATTGGAGCAAGTTAATGAAGATAATTCGTATGCCACGAATGAGGGACTTGGAATATCTGATTCAATTGAATTTGTTCCAACATCAACGTTATCTCATAATTCAGAAGAAATTTTATTTTCTCGTGAATTGATAGACATGAACGCATTTAATGAAACAAACAACGCAATTAATGCAACAAATAACGCAATTAACGCAATTAACGCAACCGTTACCGTTACTGAACCAAATAACGTAATTAACGCAATCGTTACCGAATCAAATAACGCAATTAATGCGTGGAATTTTGATTATCCTTATTATTTGTAAAGATATATTTCTAAAAATTTTGTATATTTCTAAGTTTTTTTTTTAATAAACCAATTATATGTTTATTATAGTATGATTAAGAAACGGGCGTCTTGCCTTGAATTCATATTTATATATATTTATATAATTTTTGAGGAATATGAGACATATGAACTATGCCGTGATATATGCCGTGATATATGAAAGATTATAGACTTTCCGTGACTTATGAACCATTAACGTGACATATGGATTATATATATGTATACTATTATGGATTATATATATAATATATGTATATAGTAAATTTTCTGGGACATATGAACTATTATGGATTATAGTATATGTGTATATAGTAAATTTCCCGAGATATATGAACTATTATAGGTTTTCTGTGATATAAGGACTACGCTTGTAGATTTTTTCTTTTTTTTAATGGTTTTTTTTTTTACATTTCTTTTATTTATCTCCACTCACGCTTTATTCAAAACCATTGACATCTTTCTTTATGATTAATTGTAAGCAAATATAAGTTTCTTATTATTTTAAGATAATAAAAATTTTTTTGCATACGTATTAAATCACATGCCTTTAATGAATTTAAATAATTTGACACGTGAATTTTTATAATTTCTTAAAAATTCTAAAAATTCTAATTTTTACGAATTCAAAAAAAAAAAGAATATTTTTTTTTTTTTTTTTTGGAGAAAAAACAAAGTAAAAAAAAATTGTAAAAAAAAGAGGAACTTGTTACCGATGGATTTAAAAATAAAATAAAATTTTCAACAAATCTCGTTCAGTAATCCTTTAATAGATATCTGTTAAATTAATGAATGGACATTTACATTATTTGTTTAACCAAACTTTGTATGTAATACTTTTTAATATTCCGAAATCTTTTTTTTTTGAATATTTGTTTGTTAATAATTAAAAATTAAAAAAATAAAATATAAAGAAAAATTATTTTGATATACATTAAATTTCATTGAATGAAAAATATCTAATATTGATCAAATCGATAATTGGTTTTTTTATGAATATTTAATAAGTATTCAAATCCAATCCATTTTCGTTTACTGAGGGCTGTAGATATCGCGCGATGTTATTCTAAGGACAAATGTTACAAACAAATCACTACCCAATTAAGGTCGATCCCTTGTGATACATTAATCGCAAAAAAGCATTCATTATCCTCATTACGAAAAATTAATAGGTTACATAAGAAATTCATTATTAAACATTCATGTTGTACAACATTAAGGAGTGGTGGTATTACAGCAATTCAATGGCTAATCACGTGTGTATGACTAGTAAGCCAAACAAATCGGGATCCAGACCTGTTCCACAAGGTGTGTACGATTTTTTAACAAAGCAAAATAGCATTTGGGCGAATGTATTTTAGAATCGATTGATGAGATAAAAATTTATATGAAAAAACAAATTAAATAACAGCAAAAAAATCTTCGATACAAATCTGTTTTTTTTTTTTTTTAGCATTTATTATTTCCTTTTAAAACAAATTTTTTTTTTGTTTTCTTTGTTTGTGCTCGAGTCCATATACCTTTTATCAATCAATATCTTGAAGAAATTTTTTGTAGTAAAAATTATTTTTTTTTCTTGTTTCTTATTAAACCTGTGCATATTTTTTGAGAAATTTTCTTTCAAAAATGTAAGAAAAACATAGAGGAACCGAAAGTAAAGACATATTTAGTTACACAATACATTATTTCATGACATCACACTTTTATCGGTTGCATATAATTATTGTTTATATATATATGCTGCCAAAGACATCTGATTTTCAAAGATCTTTAGGGATTGTTCGAAACCCATCATGATTATAAAATCTACCTAATCAAGTCTTCATATCGAAGTAATTTCCCATGAAAGATATCATTACAGAAGGTGGGCTTGTGGAGGAGAAATGCTAATCTTTTTTGGGCTCAAGATTGACAAGCGCCGGCGTGAATCATACTTCACACCACATCATTGTTATGAACGACATAATCTTGGCGAAGTTACAGCAGTTTTTTGATATTTGTTTTGATATTTAATAGAATCTTAGAAAGCAAATTTCCATTATATTAGCCATCACAATTGAGGAACTCACAACGCATTTTTGGACCGCTGGATCGCATGAATTATATTCTCAAATATCAAACACCGAGAATTCAAATTATCTAATTTGATCAGAATAATTGAGGGATAAAAACTGGAGAACAAGGCAAAAGCTGAAATACAAAAATCATAAAACTTTTAAATGTGGAACAAGATTTTAACAGAATCAAGAGAAAACTATACCGACTATTATTTCAAATTTTTAAGTAATTTTTTAAAAAGTAACTTCAAGATTTTAATTTTAATAAAGAGTTACTTTCTTTTACTCTTAAATCATTGAATTGGGACCGAAAATCACCTTGAATGCCTTCGTTGTAATTCCGAAAAAGGTAATTTATTATTTATTATACAATTATAGCAATTTATAGGAATTAAAATTTTATACATATATATTTATAAAAAGAGAATTGATTTAGTTTGCTTTTACAAATGAACTCATTTATTAGGTTAATCTTGATGTTGTCGAAATATGGCGACAATGGCGTCGGCGTTTTTTACGGTTATGGTATTATGGCATGATTAATTGCAGCAATACGACACATTACGACATATGTCATAATTATTGCCGCAGCCATTTCAATTATATCTCACACGTTAACTATATTGAAACTTTAAATGCAAAGAGAAAAGACGCTTATGAACGAATTTTGGAACACAATTGGTTGCAACAAATTCGAGAATATTTTAATTAGTTTATTTTTTCAAAAACTGAACTATTAGTAATATCTTCTAATATATTTCAAAGGTAAGGTTCATAAGTAAATTTTATTTCGAAACTCTTGCTTGAAAGGATAAATTTACGAATGGTACTAATTTATTTTTAACATGTTGATTCGATCTTAAAGTAATTTCAATATAAGGTTTTTTTACGGTTATAATGAAGAATTAACTACGGCATTTACGGAATTTCGGTTATGTGTGCCGCAGCCGTGTTGTAAACGATTTTTATCCTATAATTACGTCGAAATTTCAAATGCCACTTTGCCACTTTTGAAGAGCAATTATGATTACAGAAGCTTATGGACGAATTTATATTTCGAGGCCATAAAGAAGTTTATTTAGATATTTTTTTTTCAAAAATCGAAATTAAATCAATAACTTTCGATGGTAAGAATCATAATTTTTGAAACTCTTGAAAGGATAATTTACGAAATGGTATTAATGATTTTTATGTTATTTAGCATGATGTTAATTCAATCTTAACGTAATTCGATATAAGCTTTTTTACGATTATAATTAAGAATTAACTACGGCATTTACGGAATTCCGACTATGCGTGCCGCAGCCGTGTTGTAAACGATAATTATCTTATAATTATGTCGAAACTTCAAATACTACTTTTGAAGAGTGAAGATTATTACAGAAGCTTATGAATTTATAATTACACCAATTTCGAGACCATGAAGAAGTTTATCTAGATATTTTTTTTCAAAAATCGAAATTGAATCAATAATTTTCGATGATAAGAATCATAATTTTTTGAAACTCTTGATAAAGGTAAATTTACAAGCGAATGTTGTTAAATTTTCTTTTTATTAAATTATTTTTTAACATTTTAATGATCGACTTTGCAGCGTTAGCATTTTTGACAAAGCTTTTTATAGTCTTGATGATGAATTAACTACGGCGTTACGAAATTACGATTATATGTGCCGTAGCAGTGCTGTTATTACTTTATAACGACTATATCTTGAATCACATCAAAACTTCAAATATCATTTTAGATAACTATAGTAGCTTGTGAATGAATTTAGAACATAATCACGAATATGATTATTCACAATAAGTTCAAAAATGATGGAATTAATTCAAAAGTCGAAATTGAACTAATAATATCTTTCAACGGTAAGGTTCATAATTTAACCCTTGAAAGGATAAATTTACGAATGGTATTAATGTATTTAAACATGTTGATTCAATCTTTACTTAGTTTCGATATAAGTTTTTTTACGGTTATGATGAAGAATTAACTACGGCATTTACGGAATTCCGATTATGTGTGCTGCAGCCGTGTTGTAAACGATTATATATTAAATATGTCGAAATTTCAAATGCCATTTTTGAAGAACAATGACGATTACAGAAGCTTAATGATGAATTTATAATTACAACAATTTCGATGCTATGGAGAAATTTATTTCAAAATCGAAATTGAATCAATAATTATTGGAGTTTTGAATTCATCAAATAACCCAAAGCAATTGTTATGATTTAACACTCTTGTAATATAGCCCTTGAATAATGAATTGAGGTACATCTTCGATAAAGATATTTATGATACTACCTCAAAGCATGATTTTCTTGATCTTTGAGTTAACGGAAATAACTTCGATGATAAGAATCATAATTTTGAAACTCTTGATAGTAAAGGTAAAAAATTGCAAGCGAATATTGTTAAATTTTCTTTTTATTAAATTATTAATTATCAACTTTTTAGCGTTATCATTTTGACACAGTTTTTAATGGTCTTGATGATGAACTAACTACGGCGTTACGAAATTATGATTATATGTGCCGTAGCAGTGCTGTATATATATCTTGAGGGACCTGCTCGACATATGGTCTCTGAGGATTCTAGTTGTTGAGATTTGCAAAGTTTGAACACATGGTAACCACGTCAAGACCTCAAATATCTATAGTAGCTTGCGGATGAATTTGGGACACAGTCACGAATGGGATAGGTTAAAAAAATGACGGAATTTATTCAAAAGTCGAAATTGAACTAATAATATCTTTCAACTGTAAGGTTCATAATTTTGAAAGGATAAATTTACGAATGGTATCAATGTATTTTTAACATATTAATTCGATCTTTATGTAATTTCGATATAAAGATTTTACGGTTATGATGAAGAATTAACTAAGGCATTTACGTAATTCCGGCTATGTGTGCCGCAGCTGTATTGTAAACGATTATTATCTTATAATTATGTCGAAATTTCAAATGCCACTTTGCCACTTTTGAAGAGCAATGATGGCTACATAAGCTTATGGACGAATTTATGAATATTGTAATTGCAACAATTTTCGAGGCCATGAAGACAGGTAGCTTATTTTTCTATAAGGATTCATAATTTGAAACTTTTGATAAAGGTAAATTTACAATCGAATATTAAATATTCCTTTAATTAAATTATTTTTTAACATTTTAATCATCAACTTTGCAGCGTAATTTTTTGACAAATTTTTTTATGGTCTAACGCTATGTATGCCGTGAGCGTTTTTTTTTATGGTCTTGATAAATTAACTACGGCGTTTATGGCTATGTATGCCGTGAGCGTTTTTTTGTGGTCTTGATGGCGTTTACGGAATTTCTGCTATGTATGCCGTGAGCGATTCTTTATGGTCTTGATGGCGTTTACGGAATTTCGGCTATGTATGCCGTGAGCGATTCTTTATGGTCTTGATGGCGTTTACGGAATTTCGGCTATGTATGCCGTGAGCGATTCTTTCTCGAACACATTGAAACACCAATTACTATTTTTGAAAGGCAATGATGACCACAGGAACTTTGACGAATTTGGAACGCAATTATGAATGTGATAACTACAATAGGTTCGAGACCATGAAAAAGTTTATTTTAGTTTATTTTTCTTTAAAATAACGAAGCTAAACCAATGATAATAATAGTGTACTAGATTTAATTGTGAAACAATTTGGATTTTTTTTTTTTATAATATTCACCCTTTGATATTATTCAATCTTTAAATAATATTCAATCTTTCATAAATTAATTTTAAAGTTAAGTATTTATTATTATTATTATTATTATTATTATATTGTGTAATTAATATAATATCTTTGTTTTTATTAAAGAAAGGATATTTTTAAATATTTGACATAATTTTTAATTAAAATAATATATTTTCAGTTATTCAAACACAAAAAATTGAAGCATAATTGTTATTATTTTTTTTGGTTGGACATCTTTTCGTATTATTATTTATGCATTGAATGAATTGAAAAAAACAATAAAAATTATTGGATAGTCGGTCTTTTCAGACCGACAATATTATTAATTTATTTTAAGGACAATATTATATTTATATAAGTACAATGTTTTGGTTGAAAGAATGAAAATATATTAAAGTCAAGTGTTTTCTTTTTTTTGAATTTCTATTTACTACATGTAATTCTTTTATTTATTTATTTTAAGGTAAGCCAGGAGAATATTTACTAATTCAATATATGTGCTTCCTTTATTCTTACATATTTTTAATTTATATAATTAAATAGATGAGGGGTCTTCAACCCTGGTTCTGTTGATCATAATGAGATTTATATTGTTGTTTGTATGTTACTTTAATGTACGACAACATGATGACGATGATTGATGACGACTTAGTATGAATTAATTGATCAATCTTTACTCACGCCCGATTATGCACTAAGACTTTAAAAAAATGCAAATTACAAACAATGATAAGCCGACTATCGAGTTTTACACGCAAAAAAATTAACACTTGCATAGAAATCATGAATTCTTTTTGATTTTCTTTTTAATAATAATAACATTTGAGGATCTTAATTAAAAAGTCAGGGGGTTTATTTAAATTTGAGTTATTTGAGCTATTAAAAAAAAAAAAACTACTGTTACATCAAAATATTGGAACAGAAAAAAAAATTTTAAGGTTTATCACTAGTATTACCTATTAAGGTTATATCTTAACCTATAAGGTTCACTTCGGTTACTTCAGTTACTTAAAGTTAAATATAGATTTATTTTGTGGGTAATTTTCGTAGGGAGGAGAACACATTAAATTTATTGGCTTTACATTAAAATATTAGAAAATGTCATACAATAAAGTATACAGTCAGCAAACTCAGCATTAGAAACTAATTGAACTCTGAAATTCTTTTTTTTTTTAAAAAAAATTAAAACGCGTACGTACATGTACATTAATCTTTATTTATTTATTAGCATAATTGTATCTTAATTGTTATTTTAACTTAAGAGAATAAGTTTCATAAATGTAATTAGAATCTTAATTTTTTTTATTTTCACAAACTAGCCTAACTAAAGACTATCGAAAAGAAGAAGAAAAAGTAAATTGGTATGTACATGTTACATAAAATATCAAAATAAAATATAAAAGAAATAATGAATATACAAAAAAGAAAAAAACAAAAAGAAAAAATAAAAAAATAAAATAATGATAAAAAAAAAATACATAGAAGAAGAAATTTATTAACTGAAAGTAAAATAATATATACATGTACATTTATATACGTACAGTATGTATGTCATATATTAGGATGATAAACATAGCCAAATAATTCTTCAGGACCAGGATAAGAACAAAGTGGTAAATATTCATCAAATAAATAGGGCATACATTGATAAGGGGTGAATTCTTGAAAATAATCATAATTATTTTGCGCGACTGCTGGTAAAACATCGTCGGAAATTTGTGGAGTTTGTATTTTGGATTCATTCTTGTCTGATTGTCGTGATTTCGCAGTAAGTTTTTTTTCCTTTTCCTTTTTAATATTATTTTTCCTGTTACGAGGTGGAACAGGTACAGTCCCATACTTTTGTTTGTGTTGTTTGTTCGCTTCTTGAGCAAGATTTTTATAAAATTCCACGACATTGGGTGATTCATTTTTCCAACTGTCACTGATAAAGCCTGAAATATCCGTCATGGCATATGAAAGCTTCTGATTTTGCAATTCACGTACATAATTTTGTCTATAAATCATGAAACAGTTGGGAGCCTTTGATTTTATACAATTTTTTTTGGGTGTTAACAACTCAGCAATAGTAATGGTTGGAGGGAAAGGTATGTTGATTTGTGGTTGACGATTATTTAACATCTTTTTACGTGCTGCTTTATTTCGAGAAGACGCTGGTCTACCACCCGTAATACCTTCTTCAACAAAAATAAATGGGATATTATTCATACTTCCTACTGTCATAATTAGAAGATAAACGTGTAAAGAAATAAAATGAAATAAAAATTTCGTATTTAAAAAAAAAGAAAAAAATAGTTTTTTTTTTTTTNGACATCATGTCGGTTAATGCTTGAGCATCATGTTGAATGATGTACAAACATTATTCTACATATATCAAACATGATGTCTAGACATTATCCAACATGATGTCTGGATATCAACCTTTTGTCAAGGACGGCTTTCCATAACCTTTGGCGTTCTGTGATACCATTTTATTTATAAATAATCAAAAAAATTTTCTTCATTTTTTTTTTTTTTGAAAAGAATAAATTTTAAGTTCAGATGTTACTCAGTGATTATTTACTTATCAGGCGGTATTTTTATGGATAGATCGTACCGAAAGTGTAGGTGATAGGTACATAATTATTATTATTATTGGTACTCTGTGTTGGTACTGTGTAAATAATATAATATAAATAAAAAAGAAAAATTTTCTCTTTGTGAATTGATTGATGATCATTTATAAATATTTGCATAAAAAACACAATAACTTTTTATCGATCAAAGGGAGCCAAAGTTATTAATATATTACAATACAAATCATACAAATCGGAATAATAAAAGAATTTTATTTTTCCTTATAATTAAATTAATGCATAGAAGAAAAAGAAAGTCACAATATTATTTTTAATTTATTTATCGCGACTCCTAATTAGCGAAAAATGAAATTAAAAAGAGAAAAACATACACAAACATGTGCGTCATGTAGACAATTTCTTTAGAGAATAAAAATAATGAAATTATTTTTTTTTTTTGTTTTTTTTTTCACAAGATTATACTTAAACAATTGGGCTAATTGTTATTACATACTTACATACTATATAAAAAAAAAAATTTTTTTTTTTTTTATTAATAAATAATAAATATTGTTTTTTTTAAAAGAAAAAAAGAAAAAAGAAAATGAGGGCTATCGGAGAATGTAATTTTTTTTTTATTTACTTCATTAGTCAAGAACAATGTTATTGCGCCAAATAGTCAAAACTCAGTAATATAATGCTTTAAACAGTAAATATAAATAATAATAAAAAAAAAATATTTTTCACGGATTAAAAACGTGCTTCGTCCTTTTATCTTGATATCGCCTATCAGTGAATATTTTATTAGAAATCTACAGGGATATAATATAATTAAGGAATTAATATTATATTTATTTAATTTAAAAAAAAAAAAAAAAAAAATTAAAATTAAAATTAAAATTAGAAAAACAATAAGAAAATTTATTTTAATATTTTTTAATATTTACTTATGAGCACTCATTTTATATCCAAAAAAGATTCTTTAATAATATTATAAAATAAATTATTATGTCCTAGATTAAAACAAGTTCTATATTACACATATTGGCGTATTCGGAAAAGTGTCTCCGTTTATAACTTTTTTAAATATTCAAATGCACAAAAAGTTTTTATATCTTTAAATAGTTTCACGAAACATCTCCATTTAAAATTCCTTAAATGCCGCTTGTCGATCCGAATCTCTGTGTACTTGGAATTTTAATTATTATTAGTCTCGCAAAAAAAAAGTTTTGTTTAATTGTATGTGTTTATATTTTTTTTTTTAAAAAAAAAAGGATTTGACAACATGAACAAATTAAAAACGCGCCTATCCATATCCTAAAATTTATAATAACGCAAAATATTGTATTTAATTTTGGACATTAATAATTTGTAACACACATTATTTTTTTTTTTTCGAATATTTTTTTTTTTTTTTTTCGATTAATTCCAAAGATTAATAAAATAATATTTACATGTTTATTTATTATAGACTTACATTAGTCTTATTTAATGATTGGTTTAAAAATTTTTAATTCACATACACAAAATAATTTTCTCAAGCCTTTAAAAAGAAGAATTTTTTTTCGTTTTCGTTAAATCCGATTTAGTGAACTGATAACGAATCACATGAATTAGAAGAGAAATTCTTTATAGAAGGATTAAATAATCTGTTCGATAATTACTGATAAGATAAAGTTGTGTTATGATTCACGGTCCACAGTTCACAGTTCTAACATGTTATAAAATTCTTGAACAAGATTATAACGATTTCTTCGTGCTAACTCTTTTACCTTATTAAAAGCTCATGGCCGATCGTTCCACAAAATAAAATGCAAATTTCGCCTTATTTAGTTAAACTTCAAGCCTCAACCATCACATATTCCAAAAAAGGCAGTATCTATGCACAATCTTTTTGTTATGAATTTTGTTCAAACTATATAAAAAGTTAAAAAAATAGAGTGGGTGATGATGATTTGTTTACACTGTAAAAAAAATCCATGAATATTAAAAAAAAAAAAGGGGGGGACTAAAATTATAATTGTGCATATTGTGTAAATGTGATTGTGTTAGAAATTTAAAAAGTCACTGTGCATATTATACGTCGCAATTTAGCCACTCAACAAAGATTTTCGAGTTAGCGTAAATGATCATTTTCAAGATAAATTAATCAAGAGTTCGGAGTGGAATTTGCGGTGGATGGACGATACAACTAAATTCATATCATTCGCCTCATCTAGTAAGGCAAATGGGCGTTCAAAGGCTGTCTCTTATACACATCTAGATGTGTATAAGAGACAGACCAATTACACTGCATTATTTTTTTTTTATTATGGTCTCTTTTTTAAGGACTTAGAGTAGATGGAATGCATGATATTGCAAATCCAAATTCAAAAATCTTTGTTACTCTTACTGCGGATGCGGATATGCCTGCATATATCTCCTGTCTCTTATACACATCTAGATGTGTATAAGAGACAGGCATTATTTTTTTTTTATTATGGTCTCTTTTTTAAGGACTTAGAGTAGATGGAATGCATGATATTGCAAATCCAAATTCAAAAATCTTTGTTACTCTTACTGCGGATGCGGATATGCCTGCATATATCACTAACGCGTTAATTTGATTTTAAAATATTATTAATATAAATAAAAGAAAAGAATGTGTGTAATACGAATCTTTGAACAATGAAGCCATACATTAAAGTTACCTGATTGGTTACAGATCTTCGAAAAAAAAAACTGAATAATGAATATATTTAATGAAAATGCATATTTAATTTATTTAAACAAGGTTAAGAGTACATTTCCTGATTAATTGTATTAATATATTTGGATTTTTTAAATGTAAATCAATAATACAAAGTGAATATGTATATTTTTGTATAAATATTATTATTTTAAAACAAAGTAAAAAGGTAGGAAAAAAACCATAAAAAATAAATATTTTTATTTTAATATTGCTTATTTAATCTATTTATTGATGTACTGTATATAAACTAACTAATATAAATTTCCAGGGGAAAAAAAAAAAAAATTTTTTTTTTTTTTCTTCTTTATGTATGCTTTTATGGTTTACCAGTAAAATTTTTTATAATCCTTCTTTTCTATCTTTCTTTGTTTCATATAATTTTAAAAAAATTCGTTACGCCATTTTTACCATAAATTAATTCTTTATACCGAGCCAGCTGATTAGGGGCGTGCATTGATATTTAATTATTTTTAATGTGGTTTGGATACATGGTTTCACGGTCTCACGCGTTGAAAGTTTCATCATATTTTCATATTTTACAATATATAAACATCATAATCAAAAGTTTATAATATAATTTAATGGCAAACTTGCACATAATCGGTTAAATTTTATAATCACGCGTAATTTAAATCAATCCATTCATGTCCAATCTGAAACGTATCAAAATAAATACAGCATCATTGAACAAACAATATTATACAAAAAAAAACAATTTTTTATATTATCGTACGTAATATGATCGATTATTGGCCATACAAAAAAATATACCAATATTAAAAAGTACAAGTGTAAAAATTAATTAATATAATCATGATATCACAAATTTACTAATATACGCGTATAATTTCTATTAAAAAAGCACAAGATCTTTTTTTTTAATCTTTTCTATGTACGTATTGTTACCATAGATTTAAAAGATAATGTCATATTTACATAAAAAAAGAATATTATAAAAAAAATATATTATATTCTTATCCATCTTAAATTTTTTTATAAAGCATATGAAATCATATCGAAAAACTTTAAAAGTTTCTCTAATCTTTCTAAAAATAATTTCTTCTTCAATCCACATATTTAAAGAAAAATAATAAATAATTTTTTTTTTATAATCTTAGAAATTAAAAATAAGTTTCTTACTATTAATAAGAAACAAAATCCAAAACTTTAATATGTGCATACATATTCAACATCTTAAGGGGAACCTTTAATGTTTCTTCAGTTTGAATGAACTTTATTAAATCAAAAGTTTCAAGTCCTTCATATGTGTATGCTGTTTCTGTTTTGACAATCTTTAGTTGGTGATTTAATAATTCCTTTTCAGTAATAGTTCGTAGATTTGTTTTCATCTGAAAATTGTTTCGTAGTAGATTCGAATTGAGAATTAAGTTCAGGTGAGATAATTGAAAGATTTGGATTAGGTGATAATTTGTGATTAAGATTAACTGAATCGGTTTATCAATTTATAATATTATTAGGATTAGGAAGATTAAAGAACATTAGAAATTCTTTGTTAACTAATTTTACGACTGTTAAATTCATATCGTGGAATAAATGGATTAAAATAATTAGTGAATAAACAAGCGATGTATGTTTAATTGTTGATTTCTTAAGTTTTAAGTGTGAAATCTTTCTATTTTGTTTTACAGATGGAATAGCATATTTACAAAAAGAATAATCAAAATTTTCTTTTTTTAGTTTTTTGTCGTCAAGATTTAGTCAACATTCCAGTATCTCATTACTAATTTACAAGCAGAATGACCGTCTATATTTTAGTAGTAAAGTATTTTATTTTATTCTTTTAATTTACGTATAATTATGTAATAATAATAATAATAACTTTTCTTCATTATCAGGATGTTCATCAAAAA